CATGCCAGCAACTCCCAACGGGGTGAGCGCGCTGCAACGTTCCAAGATGCAAGACTCCTGTTTCTTAATTAATACATGGATCGCCCTAGCGCCTAGGTGTCTCAGAGCGCGCTGTACTTCGCTAGGATCTGAACACACACAGGCCGCCCGGCGGATGAAGCTCCTGCCCCCTCAACGCTGTTTCATCACCCTGAACTTACGTTACCAACAGGAAAACCTGACTACTTTCCTGCCGCTCTGATCCACGCTTATAATGCAATATGTATAACATTACTATGAACGCTTCAGATGAGTGAAGTAAGCTCGTTAATACTCATTAATACGTGCAAGGCCCTCGCTGAACAGTTGGCCGATCAAGGACCACGAGCCTGGACATGCGTGGCTGAAAGAACTGGGTTTGTTCAGCCCGGAGACACAAAGGTGAAGAGGGATTTTACCGCTTTCTATAGCTCGCTAATGAGGGCGTAGAGAACGGAGAGACAGGCTCTCCTCCGAAGCGCCCAGTGCTTGGAAAGGTGGTAATGGGTGCAAGCTGAAACACAGGGAATTTCAGTTAGGCGTTGGGGTTTTTTCATTATGGGATCGGTCAAATACCAGAACAGGGGTCCAAAGAGGTTGTGGGACCTCCATCCTCAGAGGAATTCAAGACAAGACCCTGAGCATCCTCCTCTCAACAAGGGGGTTGGACTAGAAACCTCCGGAAGTCTCTTCCAACCTGAATTATTCTTTGATTGCAAGCTTAAAACCGTAGGAAAGCAGACACTTCACTGTACTTCAAGCTAATGGACCTCGAGAGAAGTTAAACTTTCATACAGGCAGAGGAAGTAAGCCCTAACAAAGCATAGTATCATCACCTCACTGCCTGATTCATCTCCACCTGAGTGTTATATGCTGGTAAACACCTACATTTTTCATTTATTAAATTATTTTTTCTTCTAACAGCTTAACACCCAATTAATTAACAGTAGCATTAATAAGCACCTCAATATCTGTCAAGTAACTCTACGACAACTTTCTAGGTGCTCTACTTATCTCCAACAAGCTTCACAAATATTAATTTTGCCTTCACGCCCATCCTCCCCCTCACCAACAAGGAAGTTGCACAACCCCAACGCCGGGGAGCCGCTCGCCAACTCATCGCCCCAAGTGGGATTCCGGAGCGCAGGGGCCGACGCTCCCACAGGGCAGCTCACGCTGTAACCCACAAGCACAGAAGACTTTCAGCCCTGATGTGAGGGGCACAGAAGCGAAACTCTGGAAGGTGGCAAGGGAAAGAAAAAAGCAGCACGTGACTGCAGTAAGAGCTACGATCTGACCCTCCTGCAGGGTCGTTTTGCCTTTGCAAACTCACACAGGGTCGGGGCACACCTCCTCAGGTGGTATCAATCGCCTCTTCTGCTCAGCTGCTCTGCCATGGGATGCACCTCCACCAGCTCTGCAACCACCTGCTGCCACGCGACACCTGGGCCGGGCCAGGCCAGGAGATGTGGCTAAAGCCTCCAGCTGCAGCTGCGTCTCCCAAAGCACACGGACAGAGAATTGCTGGCTCCCTTCTCGGCAGAGAACAAAACAGGGCGCCTGACACTGCTGAAGCACTGGGACTTGCCTAAAAGTCAGCAAACCAAGTACCAGGAAAAATATCCACGCTCCATCTCTTAAAACATTAGCTCGATCAAAGGCAAAACTGCGCAAGACAGAGACACGCAACAGGGAAAGACCAATGCCCGAGTTTATTTTAAACACAGAAACTTCCCACTGAAATCAGGGAATAAAGGTTAAGAGTCTCTCTTGCCATCAGCGGAACGACACAAATCCCATTCATCAGGTCTGTCCCTTGCCGCCAGTCTCTGGGGGGGCTTCCCCGCTTTCTCCCTCCGTGGGCTGACCTTGAGACCCGGTATCTGCCGAGCTTTCCAGAAGCAGCTCCAAGGCTTCCTCGCCAGCCACACGTCTCACCTTCTCCCCTTTGGCTGCCAGGATTTCCTCAATATTCCTTAAGAGTGATTTGAAAACCAACAGTGACACAACAGCAAAGGCTGGACCTAAGAGTCAAGCGCAGGCTCGCTCTCTCACGCTTTGCTCTCAGGATTAACACTACGCAGCGCATCACACGTGAGCGTTACCGCGGTATTTCTCCACAAGGAGTCTGGGAAGCAGCTAAAACCACCCAAACCTTCTGGGGCTATTTTCATCCATTAGGATCAATAATTCAGCAATTACAGCTAAACAGAAATTTTTAAAGGTATCTCGGGGACTTAGAAGTCCCTGAAATTCAGCAGCAGATGGGCCTACGCGTTTGAAACGCTTAGCCAGGGAAACCTCGCAGTGATTGATAAAGCCTGAGGGAGAACAGAAGAACCCCACGCGCAGTAATTCACCTGCTGGCACCAGCAAGGATGCCTGTGTACCACACAGCTTCTGCTGCAGCTTTACACCATTTATTTGGATCCTAGGCAGCGATGGTCAAATTACAGGAGATTATAAAGCTCAGTTTGTGTGCTTTAAGAAACTGGATGAAACAGAATTATACCCAGCAAAACCTCTGGTTTTCTCTGAACCGCGTTCTAAAAGCATCAAAGAAATAACGTCTCCGCTCAGGAGGATCCAGTTACAACTCGGCAGCCCTTTCCCGGGCTACACAAGAGCGCTGCCTGCACGCCTACCTCTTTCCTTCCAGATCTGAAAACCACCCCAGGTTATCCGCTATGACATGGTGGTTCCCGCAGCCGGGACACTTCACTATCACCACCCCGTTATGGTAGGCCAACTTGGAAATCGTTTTTGCTGATCGGGTCTGGCAGACCTACAAAGCAAACAGAACGGGTTTTCTGACCACGGTAACTGCAGCTTCCGGACCTTTTAAGAGAAAAACATTTTATTCGCCGGATTAAAAGCTTCCTTTCCCCCCTCTCTCATCCCTAGCTACTGCGAGGCGGCTTGATCGCGTTGCCATGCCGCGTAGCTTTGCACCAACGTGCTCCACGGACCGGACCCTCGGCGGAGGCCCACCCGCCGCCGCCCGGAGAGGGGACTTTTCTCTGGGAGGAGCCGCTTACCTCAGCC